AGCATTGTCCTCTAAAGCATGAAATATACAAACAAAAAAAATATAAATATAGAATAAATTAAATTACCTGGATCGAATGATGCCTGATGGAATTGGACAGAGAGAGGCGATCAGCCAATCAGGCAAGCAGCACGTCCCTGGTTCTTGGCAGTTGGCACGAGCAGGCAAGCAACGCAGGAGGCCAAGACGGCGGAGGCCCGAGCGCAGCGCAGTACACAGCACGCCGGCAACGATTGGCGATGGCCAATGCCCAATAGCCGATTGATCAAGGAAGGCAGGAAGCTAGGGAACTACCTATATACAAAGGCAGCAAGCAGCGCCAAAGAAGAGAAAAAAATTGGAGGTAAATTAAACATTGATTATTTTTCGTAGATCAACAAAGGGAAATAGGAGCAACTGGGCAAACGAACGGTACCTGGAACACCCGATGTGGACTCGTCGCTTGCGTAGACTATGTCGGAGTTCACGTACGTGGCTACGTGAGTTGGGCAGCCGGCCGACGACCGCGCAATGGAGCGGCGATCGGATCACCGCAATAGAGCGACTCTGCGAGAAACAATTGAACAACCAAAATCACCGAACATCCGATCGATGGAGAGGAGCGGCAGCGGCAGCGGCATGCGGAACTCAGAAGACAAACCTCTCGTAGGTTTTTCTTGACCGGGTCGCGTAGCTGTTACGATTCGTTGGGCCTTGTTTTTTGGCGTGCGTAACTCAGAAGGAAACCTCTCGTAGGTTCCTTTTTTTTTTGACTGGGTATCGTAGGTTCTTGTTACGAGATTTTTTTTAGGCATACGTGTTATGAGATTGGTTGGGCGTTTTTTTTAGAAAATGGAGTATACATGTATAGGATTAGACCCCTTGCTAACTATTGTTTTCTATTATTTATTAGCTTTCTATTATTTTTCTAAAATGATTAAAATAGCTTACGAGTATTAATTAAATAAACAAAGTAAAATATTACCTAGGTCGCTATAGGCGTTGGAAAAATTCGTTACAACATGCAACACATGAAAACATATCTAATAGATGATATATATGGGATTGGTCCCTTGGCCTCGAGGGCCCAATGTGGCCGCAGAGCTCGACCCTCTTAGGACCGGGCCTGACTGGCGTTATAGGAGACGACACATCTAGGGCGTCGGCCGAAGGATGCTGGCCAAGTGCGCCCGATCCAAATGACGATGATCGATCTATGGGGAAAGTCGTATGCATCTCTAACCAACATAACAATCACATATGTTGTTGGGTCCAAGACAAAGAAAGTCCCACCAAATACTTTAGACTACAAAAAAAAAAACCGTGGCAATAGTAACATGGTATTGCATCCATTTAGGAATGTAGTTCAACCCAAAAAAACCGTGGCAACAAGAACATGCCACTACAACCATTTCAGAATTCTGGTTACAATAACCACCTAAAAATTGCAACACCACTGAAGACTATTGTAACACAGAGTAACCATAGCAATAGTTATAAACAAAAGCAATCAAATTCAATAAAGTTGCAATAACACCAAGTAATTACAACAAAAATCAATATTAATGCAACTCCAAAAAATCATGACAATAACGTCAACTAATCGTAACACAATTCTTTAATGGTTGCAGTACATATTGCAACATATTTAGTCCGTTGTATTATAAGCACATATTGCAACCTTTTACGAAAATGTTGTAATACGACCCTCTATAGCAACTAAATTAGTGGTGTTGCAATTGTGTGGCGTGGCATTAAGGAGAAATCCTTGTAGTGCGCCTTGGCCCCATGTATTTCCACCCATGTAGGAAACACGTGCGTGCCTGAAAAGAGAACACGGGCATAGGAGAAATCGCTGAATGGCGGGATCAGGGAGAGGGCTCGGGATCCAACCTGCCGCTGGAAGAAGATTCACCACGTCGCTACCCGATGTGGCATGAGGGAGAAAGCCATCCCCGTCCTAGGCGAGCGCCGGTCCCTAGTCGTCCGCCGCCCCGCTCCCCGTCGCCGCGCCGTACCATATCCGGTGACGACGGGGTTGGTGCAGTAGCTGTCAAGCGGGGGGAGAGAGTGCTCTGCATCTCGTGGACCTCGACAGGCTGACAGCCGATGCGGGGAGGCTGCCGGGAGCGGAGGATGCGACGGAGTGGGCGAGGACTCCGTTTGATCACATACTCGCCGAGGAGAAGAAGCCGACGGAGTGGGTGAGGGGCAGGAGGAGGCGACGGAGAACCAGAGGAAAGCAAATCGAGTATGGGAGAGGAGAGTGGAAGGGGAAGTAGCCACGCGGACGTACAGAACCTATAGCAATACGTGCGCGTGGGCCCTTCGTGGTAAATGCGCCGTGGCCGCCTGTGGACGCCGCGCCTGCATTTTCAATTGGCGTTTTCAATTGGACGGGAGGCCAGCCGGCCAGGGGCCTGCGTTTTCAATTGGACGGGAGGCCAGCCGGCCAGGGGCCAGGGCGGTGGACATTCCTGTTGCAAAGGGGACACGTGGACAGAGAAACGGGAGGCGCTCGTCGAGGGACTAGCTATTCGCAACGTATCAGATGCAAACAAATTAACCTATGTAAACTTAAAAGCTGCCGATCAGAATCACTAGAATAGATCTAATAGATGAGGTGAGAGGTGAGATTTTTTTACGCTTAAGCCCTCATCCGCCGGTCTTTTTTTATGCTTAAGCCCCCTCACCTTATCCATTGAATCAGCATCTACTAGTCCTGATCGTTAGTTTCTAAGTTTACACAGGTTAGTTGGTTTGCAGCTGATATGTTGCCCTAACTATTACCCCCATATTTTCCAAGAGTCGTAGCATGCGTCCTCTGAGGTTGGAGTACCAAGCGCTGAAGTATGAGCCTCGTGGGGATAGGCGCGTAGCCCAGTGGCTAAGGCTATACGGGAGGAGCCGGCCGGCGAGGGTTCGAACCCCTGTCTCGCAGCGACGGAGCAAGGATTTCATAGCTGGGTATTCCGTGTAGATAAAAAATTTCGATGCAAATGTTTTCTTTGCCTCAATAGAGGAAGGATTTGGTGTGGATGTCATAGCTGAAAGTACTGTTAGGTATGATGGCCAGGAAACAATGTGACCTTTTTTTTACTTTGGTGGGCTGAAAGTCGCTGCATTCTATTGGGTTTTGGGCCAGATTTGCATCAAGTAGTTTTGGGTATTGGGTTTTGAGCGTCGTCAGAGCTCGGATGCTCGATCGCCAGGAAATCATAAGAGCAAGTATTATAAGGTTGACTCAGCCGGCTGAATCCAGGCCACGTAGGAAAAATATATGACGCGACAGAGAGAAAAACGGAGAGAGAAAGCGAGCCGGCGCTCTACTCTCCATCCGGCTGAATAGCCTGACACCGCCCGTTCTCAGCCGGTAGCGGGCGATAAGCCTCGACGTTTTTCTCCCAGCTGTTTGATAGAGCATTAAATACACGCATGTTTGATAGAGCCAAGCTCCCAGCTAGCTTGTTATATGTGCAAGCTGTATTACTTAGGCCTCGTTTAGTTCCGCCGAATTGGCGCCGGCAGGAACAGTGTAGCTGCACTGTAGCTACAGTGCTGTTTTGTTTTTATTTGGTAATACTTGTTCAATTGTTGACTAATTAGACTCAAAATGTTCGTCTCGCAAAGTACAACTAAACTGTGCAATTAGTTTTTGATTTCGTCAACATTTAGTACTCCATGCATGTACCGCAAATTTGTTGTGACGGAGAATCTTCTTTTTGCATAGTGTCAAATTCTGGAATCATGTGGAACTAAACGCGGCCTTACTATACGTGACATGGCACAATCTCTCAGACAGCAGTCGGCTGGCTTATTAGCCATGCTCTAACATACCAAACGTCGCAGCCTCGCAGGGTGTGTGTTTAGCCGCGGTGCATGCTTTATTAGAGCAAGTATAATAATGGGCTTGGTTAAAATGCTGAGGTGGAGGAGAGAGAGGGAAGAAGAGAGAGGAGAAGCGAGCCGTAACCTTACAGTCGGCTTAGACAAAAGAGCCAAAAAACTTTGTGAGAGAGACAAGTGAACCATATATTAATTGTGAAGATGTAACCATTATATGAGTAGAATGAGAGGTAGATTGTAAGGATTCATACAGCCAGTAGCTAGGCTGTATTATTATATCTTGCTTCACTTTTCGTTTTGGAGCACGGCAAACCTGGGTGTCTCAGAGTCTCTGAATCTCTAACAAATCTGGGTGCATTTGGTGGGAATCGTCTTTACTGGCAGGCCTCAAGACCTGGAATGATTTGGCTTGGCGTACGTGCATTGGCCGTGAGTCCATTGAGCAACAGCGAAAAGCCGAAAATGGTGGTAAGGTTTGCTTCGATATATGGCCACGAAGGACAGCACTAGACCCAGATAAGTTGCTTTTTTGGACTTCTGGAGATCGTGGCAGTTCTGCCCTCTGGATGAACCACTATCCTTTTCGGCAGCAGCGACAAAGAGTGTAGGTTCACGAACGTTTTGGTGACATGGAATCACGTTCCACAATTGGGTGCGCCGCCCGTGGGCTTTCCGGCACTTTGCGACGCACTCACACACACAGCTAGTTTTCTTCTTTCCTTTTTTCGTTTTGTGTTTAAAAAACACTCGGAACAGCTTAAACATGTGTCCTTAGTTGTGAGTTGTGACGTGCCTCTGTACTACTCTTTTCATGTTTTGCTGTCACACGCTCTAAGGTCATCGAGAGAAAAAAAAGTATGGTGATGAATTATTGGTACTCCGTACTACTCTGTTCATCTTTTGCTCGATCGCACCACGCCGACGTCTCAATGGAACCATCTCATGTCACATGTCAGTGTGTTAGCTTAGCTTGCCACCTGCAACTGCAGTCCAGTCCCATGAGTCTCGTCCTGATCGTCTATATAAATCAGCCCCTACCCTGCCCGTTAGCTACTCTGAAGTTCAGACACAGAGAGAGAGAGAGAGAGAGAGAGAGAGAGTTACACTTCAAGCTCTCATCTGTCCTCCTACCAGTGACGATGGCCGGACAGCGGCATCGGTCGGGGGCGGCGGACATGGCGTCGTGGTGCGCCCTGCTGGCGCTCGTGATGGTCGTTGGGTCGCTCGCCGGGTCAGGGGACGAGGAGGAGCAGTACTGGTACAACAGAGGCGGGTCGGTGGTGGTGCGCGGGGCGCAGCCGTGCGACGAGCTGTACGTGGTGGCGGAGGGGGAGACGCTGCACAGCATCAGCGCCAGGTGCGGCGACCCCTACATCCTGGAGCACAACCCGCACGTCCACGACCCCGACGACGTCTTCCCCGGCCTTGTCATCAAGATCACGCCGCGCGCCGGCAACTCCAACTCAGGCGACGGCCGGCGCCAACAGGTGAAACGGCGGCCGATGGAACGCGACGCGCCGATGCGACAGGTCGGGCACGGGCAGGAACGCTCTCGTTGTGTTCCAGTCGTGTCTGCATGTGAAAAAGGGCTCGACTTACGAGCAGAAATCAGAGGTCGCATTGCTGGAAATCCCTGACGTCCCCGGCCGGGACACTATCGTCCTGATTTGTTTCGTTCCGTTTCCTTTTGTTCGGCTAAGCGACGAAGAGAGGAAGTGTGAACAGGGTAGGACGGTAGGTGGCTGCGCGCCTGCGCCTGCCATGGCTGCCGGTGAACGCTATGCCGGTGAACGCTACTTCATTCGCACACGGGAGCGGTAGTATTGCCGTGGTCTATTTACTGGTTTGCGGCTTTGTGCAAATCGAGTTCAAAATTTCTTGGCTTATGCTTTGGAAATCGGCTTATGCTCGGCGTAAGCGTCGATCGACATTACATCGCAGCAGGATTTTGTCACTGCTGCACCAGCTAGGGTGCCATTTCCCAAGATTGATAGGACTCCGAAGCATATTCAGACAGTCACCGACCCCAATTTTTCATGGGAATGGGGTTATGCTTGCACTACGCAGCATTTTTAGACAAAGGATAACTCTGCTTTTAATAAGGAAGCAAATATATGTTTATACAACGTCTGCAACTTGCTGGGATACCAGCTTACAAAGTAGGCACGAGGAAAACGCTAACAGCAGCAAACTACTGAAGTTTGAAACCACAACCTCCCAAAAGCAACCGTGACACTGACACGCAGGCCAAAAACAAGATGAGAAGAGAAACCATCCTCTCTCACACTACCATTACAGAAGCTCCTCCATATCTTGAGGCTTCTTGTTCTTCAGGAAGTGCTCCATCCACTTCTTTGTAGCGCTGCTCATATGTTTCACCTTTGATTTCTCCGCCGGCTTCAGTAAGATCTTCCCATTTGTGCAGAAAGTTGGACATTTGAATAACCATGCAGTTGGTGATTTTACAAAAAAAAATCTCAATCATTTTTAGCTAAGACAAAGTTAAGGAAAACAGGATCAACAGAATCTAGGGAAATTACAGATAATGAAGTTAGCATTCCCCTTCCATTTTCTTTGTTTCAGAACTACTACTCCTGTTTGGAGCCATAGCAAGCCATGAAAACTTTCAGCTTTAGAGGCATCCACCTATACATTGGTTTCGTAGAATATACTCCACAGTTTCTTCCTTCTTTTGCATACAACCCCTTTGAAGGTATTCCACCTGTACATTGATTTCGGGGAATATACTCCTTGTTTCTCTATTTTCTATGAAATTATGTCTTTCTCATCATTAACTACAACTTTCTGTAATTTTCCAACAGCCATTCCCATTCTGTAACTTCCTCCATCCCAAAACTTCTCACAAAATAAAAAATCCAATCTTCTCCACCCCAGCATTCCCTATGCATAAATTCTTGGGAAGGCATGTTTTAACGGAATCTCCTCCGGCCATACATCATCCCAAAATAAGGCGTTGTGGCCATATGTCCTGTAAAGCAAAGACGGGGAGGCCGAATCATAAATAGATTACAAATACTATATACCAGTTCACGTATGAAAAGCATGCACACGATACCTCTAAAATAACCTCAAGATTGGCAAGTAAACTCTCCTGCTTGTTGCACACAACAAATTCGTCTGACGCTTATCGTCATCCAGCTCCGTTTAAAAAGCTCACCATCCTCGATTGTTCTACGGTGCAAACCATATCTGTCCTTTGTAAAATTATCGCCTCCTCGATTCCTCGCAGTCGCAGCTCATCTTTGCACCGTAGAACAACCGTGCAGTATTTATTTTATTTAAACATCTACTCTTGATCTACCCATGAGCTAACTCCGAATATATAAGCGAGCCGAACTTTTCTCCTATCTGATCACTGCTGTTGCTGAATTACCCGGCGAAAATGGCGCCTGGGCTTGCCAGCTCGGCCGCGCTGGGGGTTTTGGCCGTCGTTCTTGGCTCCTCGTGCCTCGTCGCGCTCTCGGAGGATGGTTCGTGCTGGACTGCATGCCGTGAATACGGTCATGCGTTTTTTCTTTTGGAATTTCTGCAGTTCTGCAACCTGTGAATCAGCATGGTCATATGTATGTGCAGAACCACTGGAGAACCTGCGGTTCGTGCGCCACGCACAGGACGCGCCCCTGGTGTCGCAGTACAACTACATCGTCATCGGCGGCGGCGGCGGGGTGCCCGCTGGCGGCGACGTTATCGGAGCACTCGCGCGTGCTGCTCCTCGAGCGCGGGGGCCTCCCGTACCGCAACATGTCCAACCAGCAGCACTTCACGGACGCGCTGGCGGACACGTCCCCGGCGTCGCCCGCGCAGCGGTTCATCTCCGAGGACGGCGTGGTGAACGCGCGGGCGCGGGTGCTGGGCGGCGGGAGCTGCCTCAACGCCGGGTTCTACACGCGGGCCAGCAACGACTACGTGCGCGCCGCCGGGTGGGACACCCGCCTCGTCAACTCGTCCTACCGCTGGGTGGAGCGCGCGCTCGTGTTCCGCCCCGACGTGCCCCCGTGGCAGGCCGCGCTCCGCGACGCGCTGCTCGAGGCCGGCGTCACGCCCGACAACGGCTTCACCTTCGACCACGTCCCGGGCACCAAGATCGGGGGCACCATCTTCGACAACAGCGGCCAGCGGCACACCGCCGCCGACTTCCTCCGCCACGCGCGACCCAGGGGGCTCACCGTGTTCCTCTACGCTACCGTCTCGAGGATCCTCTTCAGGCAGCAAGAGGGTGTGCCGTACCCGGTGGCGTACGGCGTGGTGTTCACGGACCCGCTCGGGGTGCAGCACCGGGTGTACCTCCGCGACGGCGCCAAGAATGAGGTGATCCTGTCCGCGGGGACGCTGGGGAGCCCGCAGCTGCTGATGCTGAGCGGCGTCGGCCCGCAGGCGCACCTGGAGGCGCACGGCATCCAGGTGCTGGTCGACCAGCCCATGGTCGGGCAGGGCGTGGCCGACAACCCGATGAACTCGGTGTTCATCCCGTCGCCGGTGCCCGTCACGCTCTCGCTCGTGCAGGTCGTCGGGATCACCCGCTCCGGCAGCTTCATAGAGGGCGTCAGCGGCTCCGAGTTCGGCATCCCCGTCTCCGAGGGCGCCCGCTGCCTAGCTCGCAACTTCGGCCTCTTCTCTCCTCAGGTGCGGTCGTCGTGCGAACCCCAGATGACAGCGTAACCGGAAATGTACTGACTACTGACGGACCGTACGTCGTGCGGCAGACCGGGCAGCTGGGCACGTTGCCGCCGAAGCAGAGAACCCCGGAGGCTCTGGAGCGCGCGGCGGAGGCGATGCGGCGGCTGGACAGGCGGGCGTTCCGGGGCGGCTTCATCCTGGAGAAGATCCTGGGCCCCGTGTCGTCGGGCCACATCGAGCTGCGGTCCGCCGACCCGCGCGCGAACCCGGCGGTGACGTTCAACTACTTCCAGGAGTCGGAGGACCTGGAGCGGTGCGTGCACGGCATCCAGACGATCGAGCGGATGATCCAGTCCCGGGCCTTCGCCAACTTCACCTACGCCAACGCCTCCGTGGAGTCCATCTTCACCGACTCCGCCAACTTCCCCGTCAACCTCCTGCCGCGGCACGTCAACGACTCCCGGACGCCCGAGCAGTACTGCAGGGACACCGTCATGACCATCTGGCACTACCACGGCGGATGCCAGGTCGGCGCCGTCGTCGACGACGATCACCGGGTGTTCGGCGTGCAGCGGCTCAGGGTGATCGACAGCTCCACGTTCAAGTACTCCCCCGGGACCAACCCGCAGGCCACCGTCATGATGCTCGGAAGGTATATGGGTGTCAAAATTCAGGCCGAGAGGTGGAGGAAATGATCGAGAGCGAGTGGTTTCAAGTTTCAGCATGGTCTACGCTGTGATAATGAATATCAACACATAACTGGGTAACTGCTTTAGAGTAGGGTTTTATTTTTCTCTAGACATTTTTTAGTCTCCTCTTTCTAGCTTCAGCTTGTTGATTCCAATCTTTCACACCCCTTGAGATGCATTGCTCAAGAAATAAGGAATTCACGATTTCATAAAAAAAAAAACCCAAAAGGGGAAAACACTTCAAAATGCTCTGCAGGATCAATTTACACTCTAAACACTTACTTTCCGGGATTTACATGGAATATCTTGGCAGTTGGTCCAAATGTGATATTCCTGAACCTCTTTAATTTTTCTATACACAGGTACCCAATAAAGGTACAAATTGATTGCCTACTTATATGTACTAAGTGAATCGAGGAGAAAGGACAAGGGGAGAAAGCCCTATTAGCATTTCCCCTACTTGCTTGCAACCTGTAGTAGCTCTTGCAAAATCTTCACCCTATCTACGCTCTCAAGAAAGAGGATAAGCTAGTGCTCTATCTTTGATCTCCAGGGTCCCTCAGAGGCCATCAGACATTACTAAAATGCACAACTAAATTTTATATTGTGAGGTTCTCCTGGATGGCTGTAAATGAGCCACAGATGTTCCCACCCAAGTCTGGGAATGTTGTGCATCCTGGTAGTGGTTTCACCTTGCCTTTACGGTCGACGCTTACTGGATACTTCATGAGGTGGCCTCTCATCTCTGTCACCTCATCGGCAACAAACTGCTTCCAGTTCTCTTCCCCAAGATGCCGTACATGCCTCATGCATTCCAGGCTCTCCGGATAGTTGAAGTCTTCCTCAATGCTTCCAATATGCTCAGCCCATAAGGACATTCTGTAGCCATAAATCTACAAAGTGAAAATCAATCAATAGATTAAATTTAGTGTATGGCAAAAGGTTGTGTCGTGAAATCAATTGCACCCCTAACATGACAAACAGCTGAAACTAATGTATAGCCTCAGCAAAGCAGTAGCAGTGAGGACATGAAAGTATAAATAATTCCAAGTCCAATCTCATAACAGGAGCTTAGGGGCACAGCCCAGTTTTGTATGTCAGCTTGAGTAAAGGGGCAATACCTGTCCACGTGGGGCAGAAAGCTTATTAGCCCATGTATATTGTGGCTGATACGCTCCCATCGCAATCTCAGTGTCTCTTATTCCTTCCATGGATCTCTGATTAACATTAGCCGATCCAATGATAACATACTCATCATCCACAATCATGCCTTTCGAATGTACATAGACCATGAATCTCCTATTTTTCCTAGCTTGTTCCTGAACATTAAATGCAAAATAAGCTTCCACACATGCCATATTCAGGAGAAGAACACAGCATGAAGAAAGTCAATTCCAAAACTGATTACATGAGGGCAAGTAATGTTTAGGTAACGGTTACAAGTTCAACATCCACAAGTAGCAACTTTTTGTAGAGCTAGTTCAGTATCCACAAGACAATTTTTTGTCGAGCATCCACATGAGTAAGTCAAATCACTTCAGTCATTGACCAAGAATTTCTTTTCAAACAAAAACCTATATCCTTTAAGAATTAAGATCATCATGATATGGGAATTCCCAGATGTTCAAAATCCAAATCTTAATGTTTTCACACTTCAACATACAGTCTAAAGGAACCATATCAGTACTTTGCCAAGAAAATGGAGATCTGTTGAGCAAAGTCCACCTAAAGGTCACACAACTCATATTTTTACCTACACTATTTAATACTTAACTGAAATGTTTTTTGCTGCAACAAATTAAAATTGCTCTCTAAGTCGGCATAATTTGTTGAACAAAAACAAGAAAGTAGTCACCTGAGGATTATTTGCTGTATTTGAAGCATTTGAAATGCTAGTGCTGTCAGCAACTTCACGATTGCCAAGACAGAAGAAGTTTAAATAATCCTGAGGCTCATACATATCATCCAGGCCTACTTCTTTCAAGGCCCTGTATATTGTCTCGTACATCATTTGCATGGTTTTGTTCTGCAGTGTAAATATAAAAAAGACGTGATTAAGCCATATGAAAACATATCATCTACAGGAACACATGAAACAAGAAATGAGCAATGATAGAACTGTGGATCTAACCTGCCAGTAAAGAATTCGTTGTGTTGCAGCACCAGTTGGATTACCCTCAGGCCACATAGGAACCACTATGTATGCAGAAAACCTTTCATTTGCCTTAATCTTGTTTGCAATTTTGAGAGCAATTTCAATTGGAATTAAATTGTTAGCCCCTGACATGTAGAAAAAGTTTTCAAGTGAGATGTGTAGTAAAAAGAGGAAAGGGGTAAATGACTGTAGAATGTTTTTCTGGAAGAAACAATGTGCATTGTACTATATAGAAGAACGCAAAACAAAAGTTGACACTCATCATTTACCTAAATCCTTGTTTGAATCCCAATTAAATGAAGAACCGATGAAGTACTGATTCTCAATATAAATATAATGTTGGGCTGCCCGGATAGCATGGACATAAGCCGTATGTATGCTCATGTCAATAAGTACATTCTTTCCACAAACAAGATTCTGTTGGCCAAAGCAGAAGTGTTAGTCAACATCAAAATGGAAAATCCTACAAATATCGCATTGGTAGATGGTAGATAACAGTTACCTTCATGGTTGCTGCTCGTGGATCCTTTGGAAATCCCTTGGCAGAGTTTGAATCAATAGACCGGAACACCTGAATTCCAAAGTAAAAGAAAATTCAGTGCTTGCAAGGCAAAATAGCACAAAGGGATAAAAGTTGGTTTTCCTTTTCAACTATATAGGAATGTTATAAACACCTGAACATGCCATGTCTCTGGATCATTGTCGCTAAAATATATTGCATCATTTATGTTTATAATATCTGGTATTCTTTCAATACTGAGGATTGCATCGTCGTACGATTTTGCCAACTTTTTAATCCCATGGCGTTTGGCCGCTTTTAACCAACGCTCCTGAAAGTTTTGTAGAACATCATAAGCAGCTGGACCATCGATCTTAGAATGCAAGTCATGCCACGGTTCCCTTGGACCACGAGCATCAACTGTCTGCAAAATAATGAGAAGAATTGTATTCAGGATCAGCACAGATTTTTTTTTTCTCGAACACGCAGGAGAGCTGCATATCATTGTATTAATAGAAGAAGAGAGTCATACATAGACCCAAACCCACACACACAAACACCCACTACTACAAGGAAACTAAATCACCGGTTAAAAGCAAAAGGACGACCTGACCGCTACATCAGTCCTCTAGACTGCTCCTCCGGCAGTGAGCAGGGAGATCCCCTTGGCTCCTGCCAGGCTCCACCAATGGGCCTCTTACCTTGCCAAAGCCAGCATTATAAATCATAATAACATTTGGGGTTGCGCCATTGAAAACACAATCATTTCTGTGCCGCCAGATGCTCCAGGCTCCCAAAATGACTAGAGAATTCATAGCCTTCCTCAAATCTCCACTAGCAGAATTATCAACTTTTCTCCACCATCCAAGGATTGGTCAGTAGGTTGTGGAGCAAGTGATGCAAAACCAAAATGCAACAGGAAGGAGAACCAAAAATCTCTTGAGAATACACAGCCCACAAAGAAAATTAGGCAAGCGCTAATATTTTTTCCTATGCAAGAAAATGGCAAAGAACTATGTTCAGTATTGCCACAAAGAAAAGACAGAGAATAGGGGAATGTTAATATTAGTTATTGTTATGCTAAAATATTTTCCTTTTGATAAACTAAGAACAAAATATCATAAAAGGTTCCTACATTTTCAGTATTAAGAAATTCTAGGAATCATTACATAAGAAATTGCACAGAAACGAGACTTACATTAAAGTTTGGATTATAATAATCCTCCTTGTGCTCATTCTGAAGAGTCCGAAACAGAGGATGCCAAGGTGTATCATATCGCCCGCCACATAAATCAAGTCCTCCAACAAAAGCAACTATCTTTCTCCTATAGTTGCCAGCATCAGCATCCACAATAACTGTTTTCTGATGATGAGTAAAAATGGTTCCTGTTTCCTGGTCCACACAGTCTTCTTACATAAATAGATGGCACTCAAGAAACACAATGCAAACAGGGGCAACGGCGACACCGCGGGACAGGGGCGGCGGCGGGGGCGGGGGGTCGTTGGCCCCAACTATGCTTGGTGTACACAAGTACACGTATGGTAAAGATTGATGTAATACTTTGTGACAAAAAACAAATATGAACCATCATGAATGGTAAATTTGTACGACATCATCGTCACTGTTGACATTTGAGAATAGAGATTACCTGCTGTTTCACCCAGCTGTGGCGTTTCCCAGCAGATCGTGGGCACAGCAACACTTGGACTGAAGAATGCTTGAAAAATCTGCGTGTCTCCTCATCTCGTGTGCCCATGAAACCATCCTATGATTGAAACTTTCATAAACATGATGCACTCAATTCTTAAACATCATGAAATATGTGAAAAGCATGTTATCAAATGTCTAGTGAATAAGCTACCAAACTACCCATGGAGAATTTAGTAAAACTAATTTGATGTTATAGATGTTGGCGCATTTTTCTATAAACTTGGATAAAGTTAGAGAAAGCTGAACTGAACTATAATTTAGAACGGATGTAATATATCATAGGGAAGCTGGACACTACATTGATGAATATCCACTTAATACTATACAGTACAGATGACAACTAGTATTTCTGCAAATCATTTACTTGAACACCACAGAAACAAATATAAAGGTTACATCATAGTTTGCTCAATGCCATAAAGTTTAATCATGAAATTGGTGTACCGATTCCAATAACAGAGAAATATCATTGGTGCTACCATGCAGCTAATTTGAAAAGACACCTAATAAGTAATTAACATTAAAATCATTAAAATTTCTAGACACAAAATTATGTCTTTTGTAGCATGAAGACCTTAAAGCAGCATATTTTCAACTTGATAGATAATAATACATACCAACTTATATCCAAGAATGCTCCTTGATGTAGGATCATCCCAAACAAGCAGCAGCACACGCACCCCTTCCTGTGACTTCATCTTCAACAGGTCCCCAAGTGATGGAGCTTGAGTGCCATCTCTCACGAGGTGGATTGTGTGGAAAACAGACCACCCCACGATGTAAATCAACTTCCTTGCCTGGCATATGGCATCATAGATATCACGCCAGCACTGCCCGTGCTGGTAGCGCAGCCCATTGCCAAGCCATATGTCTGGGAGACAACCATCAGGCACATGCGCGTCTTGATACAGGGTCACTCTCATGCCGCGCCTAAGCGGGAAGTAAGTATGAGGTACGCCAAGACTGTCTGGACCAGCAATGATGCCATGGTGGTACATTGTGAGCTGAGCGACGGGGATGTACTGTATCGACAAATGTAGTACAGCTCCTGGAGCACATGGCTTGCCATTGGGCTCAAGGACGGGGTAGACACCCTGAATCCTTTCCCCTGTCAGAAGCTTCTCAGCGGGAATGGACACAACACCGATGATCTGAGCACCGAAGACATCACTGTCCTTGACAACAAACTGGACTTCGGCAGCCTCATGCCCGACGGGCACCAAGAAGTTCTGTGACCAGACTGGATTCTCACAGTTGGGGATGACATAGGTCCGCGCGACGGTGGCATAGGAGACCTGAACGGTGACATAGGGGTCGCTGGTCATGGACGCGCTGGACATCTTGCTGCCAACAGCGCTGGTGATGCGCGGGCCGAGGAGCTCGCCGACCCTCTTGGAGAACATATCCTTATTAGGCAAGTGCCGGGCGTCGTGCACCCAGATGTCGAGGCTGCCGTGGAGCAGCACCACCTTGAGCGATGCCCTGAAGCTGCCGCCGTGCTGCGACCCTCCCGCGGCCGCGCCGTAGGGCACCATCTGCATCCCGCCTCCGTGCTGCGACCCTCCGGCGGCCGCGCCATAGGGCACCACCTGCATCCCGCCGCCGTGGCTGCTCCCATCGCCCGAGAAGGGGGTGGAGGGCGGGGGCACGGAGGGCGACGACGCGTAGTCGTGACGGTCGGAGAGGCGCATGGAGGCGAGGACATCCTCGATGGGGTACGACGGCGCGGAGGGCGCCGGCGACGGGGGTTCGGGCGCGGAGGCGTGCTGGTGGTGGAAGCTGGAGCTGGGAGAGAGCCCCGGGCTGGGACTGGGGCTAGGGTTGGTGCTCGGGTAGGAGGATGGGTACGGGGATGATGGGTAGGGGTCGTACCCGTGGCCGTAAGGCGATGGATGCGGCGGCGGCGGGTAGGCGTGGTACTGCGGCGGCGGCGGGTACAGCGGGCCGGAGTGGTACTGCTGCGGCGGCGGCGGCGGGGCGGGGGCATAGCTCGGGAAGGATGGAGACGGAGAGAGGTATGGCGCGGCCGGCGCGGCAGACGACGGCGGCGGCGCAGGCGGGTACTGGTACCCGTAAGGATACAGCTGCGCCTGCGCCTGCGGGTACGGGTATTGGTACGGCGGGTAGTGCGGCGGGTGGCCGCCGTTGTTGCCGTTCTCCATCGCCGCCCGGGCGCCTGCTTCCTTGGTTGCTCTCAACACGGCTCCGCTTTCGATTGATCTCTCCCTGTGGTGGTGTGGTCCGAAATTGAAACGGCCAGAGAGGCCGGAGGTGGAAGAGTCGTGGGTGGCGGGTGGCGACCGCGACCACGACGGTGGCTGCGGGTACGAATTGAAAAAAAATGGATGTTGAACTTTGGAATCGGGGATGGGATCGGAAGAAGCAGGACGGTGGTCGGCCGGAACCGGCCCGCCGATTTCGTTCCGCCACCCCTGCGGCTGCGGCCGTGTGGATTTGGACGCTGACCACTTCAGACGGATCACCGCCTCGGTCCTAACGTTGAAGGCACCTTCGCGTCTTGGCGCCGTGTGTGTGTGAGTCTTCTCCGTCAGGTTGAAAGGCACGTGTCAGAGAAGGGAGAGACTTGTGGCTGGCCAGGCAGGCACGCTACGAACGAACAGGATGACGTGTCGGGATACTCCATTTCTTTAATTTTCCTTGTGATGAAAAGGCAGAATCTATCCGTACTGTAAGCAAAAGGCCCTACGGGATTTCATTTTTCTGAAACGAGTAGCGCTCTCTGTTCTATTCTACCAGGAACCTGCTTGCGGGACAACGATTCCTGCAAGGTTGTTGTCAAAAAAAAAACGATCCCTGCAAGGTGGAGAAGCCCACACGGCACGAATGGCTCGATCCGTGCACCGCGTAGATTCCTGTGTACTATACGGCATACGCTATTGCCAATTTGGAATGAACGAGTTGGCAATTTTAGACGGTAATGCTATAGACCAGGCGTCCGACCGCTTGAATACCCCGCACTCCCACTCGCACTCGGCCCACTTCCCCAGCTCCATCCGCTTCCCCGCACCCTCTCCCCCTCACTCGTTCTTCTCCGTGCCGCTCCCCCGCACCCGCTCCCCTCCGCACTGTCGCTGGGACGAGGGACACCGCGCCCGTGAGCTCGCAGCGCGCCCCCGCCCGCCGGTGCTCCCTTCCTCCCTCCGTCCCTCGCCCACCGCGACCTCCACGCACCCCCACTGTCCCTGCGACCCGGCTCCCACACTCCACCGGAGACGAGGACGATGGCGGTGGCTCCGACGAGGTAGGTGGATGAGGGATCTGGATTTGAGATCTGCTCCTCCTCCTCTGGATCTAAGGGATGCGGCGGTGGCTAGGGTTCCGGCGAACTCTCGAGGTCAGATCTCGCCGTGTTGCAATATTTTTTATGTTGCAACAGATGATTTCGAATGTTGCAATAGGATTTTGTTGTTGTTGTTGCAACACATGTTTTTGCGATGTTGCAGTAGTACTACTTGAGATGTTACAGTATGTTTCAGTTATTTTAATCTTATGTTGCAGTAGTTGTTCCATGTTGTTGCAAGTGTTTTATTTTCGAGCGTTGTTCATATGCTTCACACCAGTGTTGCAATAATATGTTCCAAATATTTCAGCTCCTTCAACCTATTGTTGTAGCAGCTTGTTTGGTGTTGTTGCAATAATATGTCCATGTTGTTTCAGCTGTTGTTTCTTGTTGTTGCAATAATATGTTCATGGTGTTTCAACTGCTTCATCCTAATATTGTAGCTGTTGTTCCTTGTTGCAATATATATGTTCATGGTGTTTCAGCTGCTTTAGCCTAATGTTCCAGTATTTGTTTTCGTATTGTTGCACATATTTTTATTCCAGCTTTCTATGTTGTTCGGCCAGGGAGGGGCGAGCCGGGACAGACAGGACCTAGCGGGCGGAGGTGCTGGGGCCGGCGGACGCGGGGTGATGTGGCCATGGGGGGCTCTGGGCATGCAGCATGCTCGCCGCGGGCGTGGGGCAGACGCAACGGCTGCGGGGCGATCTGGGGGCGTACAGACTCGCGCGACACAGAGGCTAGCGGGGCTCTTTGAAGACATCGCGGGTCACGGGTTCGTCGGTGTTAGCGAGGCTCTTCATTCAACGAAGACGCAGCAGCAGCAGTTCGCGCGGGGGCAGGATCTCAGGGCGGCAGCGGTGGTCCAGCGGACCCGCTCCTTGCGCGCATCGCCGGGGGGCGTGCTGGTAGCGTGCGGTGCAGAACTGAGAAGGAAGAGCGCGCACTGGGGGAGTGCGTCCAGGGAACCGTGCGATGGATCTGTATCCATCGGATGTCCGGGCGCCAGCGCTCTCCAATTTTAGACTTCAAAAACTACTGTACGGCTCCTTTTCATCTTCCCAATGCTCTAATTTCTCTCTCTCGATAAGTCTAGTCTCAATGAGAGTTTCGTGTAAGTTTCATTTGCATTAAATAGGTTGCTATATAGACATCTTTGATGACATGGCAGGTTTCATTTCATTTCATATGACATGACAGTTTTAGTGACGGTGCCACACTCCCATGATTCCCGACTACCGAATCCATACCGAAGAAGGTATTAAGGTTCATGACTCGTCTATTCAAGGAAGGATATCTAAAGATCACGCCAAGACTCCGATTAGGGCACGACTACATAACTTGTAGGGCAAGTAGGCCTCAGATATAAATAGCTAGCTATCCGCCCTGTTGTAATCATCGAAACTCTCATAGGCATAGCCATCTTGTAATCGCCATCTCGCTATTTGACGAGATCTTAATACAAACAAGTAGCAACTGGACGTACGACTTTTACTCACTTTCTGGGGGCCTGAACCAGTATAAATTTCATGTCTCTACTGTGCTTGCTCTTTGCGTCAGGCGAATTCCTTCAAGAACCGAATATCTGCCAGTAAAAAAACTGACAGAGGCGTGCTAGATAAGGGGATTTCACGCAAAGGGTGATCATGTCGATCATCAGTGGAGTTTGGTATGCCGATCCGACGCGTTCCGACGTTGAGGTATTGCCGACTTTGGTCAAATTTGAGATTTTGGGCGACTACTACTCAGGACCTCAGATCTATTGACCATCCCGCAACATGCCATCAACCATCCACTTTGGAAGCTTGGTATTCGAGCATGACGGTGATTTCAATCTCAAGTGGACGGGGATCGATGATCCCTGACCCACGCTGGCCAGGAAATTTTCGCCTCCTAGGGACACCCAACTGAGGAGAGCAGAACGACAAAAACACTCAACTCGATCTAGATTTCGAGGACTCAGACAATGAGTTAGATCCCATCGAAAGTCATCGGATCTATATGGCTAGTCGTGATCAAACCCCGGCAGATGAGGCTGGGTCATCAGCTACTCAACCACCTCCACGCCTCAACAATGCACCAAAACTCAATACTGTTGTGCCCCACGCACCGACTCAATCAACCCTGGCTCTGAGGAATCTAAGTTCCGACTTCCGAGCAGCCCAGGAAGATAACATCTAGCTCAGAATGCTCCTCGGAACTATGGGGGCCCTGGCTGAAGAAGGCACGCCTTTGGCAAATATCATCGAGCAGGCTCAGGATCTAGTTAACTAGACGAAGCAACGAATGGATGCCAAAGGGGCCAAGTCCCGATCTCAGTCCAGAGGTCGTAACCCTCCTCCCGAGAGATCCAATCGATCGGTAGGAAACCGCTATCAACCGAGGCGAGGCCAAGATCTACGGCCCAAACTTGAGACGCATCGTAGAAATCATGATGCTTAGGAAACCATCAACATCAACATGGCCCAGCACATGAACTATTCGATCACCCCCTATTCGGCATTTGTGCATAGATTGCTTCAGGTGATATGGTCCGACAAGTTCCTCCCTAGACCCATTGAGAAGTACGATGGGACTACCAACCCCAAGGAGTGGATCTAGATCTATGAGATGGTGATTGAGGTAGCAGCAGGAGGTGACTATGTGAAAGCCAATTTCCTACTGACTATCCTTCAAGGGTCTGCCCGGACTTGGCTGATGAATTTGCTCAAGTGCACGGTCCAATCTTGGAGCCATCTGCGCCAGCTATTCGAAGCCAACTTTCATGCAACTTATAGACGTCCTGGCCACGAGGACGATCTGTTTGCATACGTTCATAAATCCGATGAGCATCTTTAGGACTTTATCCACAGGTTCAGCGAGATTTGTAACACGATCCCTGACATGAGTGAAGATCGGGTGATTGTAGCCTTCAAGCAAGAGTGCATGGACGAACGAACTATGGAAAAGTTAGCCACCAAGAACCCAAAGATGGTTGCTGAACTCTACAAGATCCTCGATGCAACGGCAAAGGCAGCCGATGCCTGAGCCTAAATGCATGGATAGTCCAACATAGAAGATAAGAAGAAGAACAAGGACAAGAAGCGCAAGACTGGTGAAGCTGAAGTCCTAGTCACAGGGAAAGGAAAGGCACCACCGCGTGGCAAGGTAAACCTAAAGACCTTTCCATCTATTGTCCTATTCACCGTTCTACCAAACATAGTTTTGTAGATTATTTAGTCTACAAGAAATAGAAGTAGGAAGAAGAACAAGAACGAAAGCCCCAGGGGCTAGTCAGGCAAGAGCCACCCCGATGTCGAGTTGACCCCCATAACGATGATGATCCGATCGCCTTGGGGAAATGAGACCGCCATAATCTGTGGTGGCACAGCCACACCATCCTCCAAGACCAAGTTAAAGTAGGTCGAGTGCTAGGTGAACAGCACCCAGCCCTCGAACAAAAGGCTTAAATGGTCAGAGGTGCCAATCCAATTCGATATTTGGGACCATCCCCTGAATTTATACGACGGTCCACTACAACCGCTGATCATATAGCCCTACATCAGGAATTACAAGGTCGGTTCAACCTTAATTGACAGCAGCAGTGGCCTCAACCTTCTCTTCGCCAATGCATATGACAGTCTGGGATTGCCCAGAAAGTGCCTCCTCTCGGCCAAAGAACCCTTCTACGGGGTAATGCTGGGCATGTCAGCATACCCCCTCAGGAGAATCGACCAACAAGTTTCCCTCAGAGAAGGCGAGAACACTAGGTCTGAGTTCCTCACATCAAGGTTGCAGACTTTGATTCGGCGTATAACTGCATCTTGGGCAGACCGTTTGTGGCAAAACCGACCAATTTATAAGAGCACAAGTACAATAGCA